TTTTTTTTTTTTTTTTACCACTAGGGAAAATTCTTGGTGTCCATTTTTTGAAATTCTGTTGTCACAACAACATGCATGCGTTGTCTTTATCTCATTCCACCCACTTAAATTAGCTTAAACAGGTAAAATTTGGTAAGGCAGTTGCATAATTTGTATCAGATAATCCATATTTTTTTTGTGAGGACAGCGTTCCTAACTAAATGTATGTTATCATAATTAAGTGAGAATAACTTCGTACTCATGTATTTAGTTTCTGTAAGTGAGAATAAGATCTCTTTGATTATCACAGAATTAGTATTCAACCTGTGCATTTGCACAAATATATAAATAAAATATTGTGAGTTATTTATATAAATATAATGATTAATAATTTTTGTTAAATTTACAATTAAAGGAGCTGAAATATTTAAATTTTTTAAATTGCGTTTATCAATTATCATATTGGATATAATGTATATTTTGGTATGTATCTTTTTTTTTTTGTGAATTACGTATTATTTATTTAAGAATTTCAAATATGTTTTTTATTTTCCGAAAGAAGTTAATTTAAATGTAACCACAACAATAACATCTACTCACATTAAATAGTCAACACATTATATGGTCAACTGTAAGTAATTAGAAAATTTAAAATGATTTTTGTAATTTTAAAATAATTAGTGTATTGACTACCTAATAATTAAATGAGAGGTTAAATGAATAAAAAGTAACGGTTTTTGGAGGGAAAAAATTATGTTGCCACCTAGGTATAATTTAATAGGTTTTATTAAATGCTCATTAGTCAGTAATTATATATATATATATAGATGCTAGCATCCGTTAGGGGATGATTCCGATATCCTTTTATAACCCGGGACATTGATCCAGCTGGGTCAACTCGGTTGACCGGGCCCTTATATATATTTTTTTATTTTTTAAAATATTTTTTATTTTGAAAAAATAAAACTATGAATATATTAATATGATAAACATTTATTATAAAATATATATATTAACACTTTAATTTACAAATTTTATATGCAAAACATTTAATTTTGTTACGTTTTATGTGTATTTATATGACAAAATACTCTATATATAGTTTTAAAAATTTTAAAATTAATTATCCGGTTCAACAATTGACCCGATAACCAAGAGACCTGTCGGGTCGATTTCCGGGCCGGATTTAAAAACTATGACACAAACAACTAATAAGAGCCACTGCATGCCACACACAAAAAATAAATAAATAAATACATCGATTGACCCAAAAGATTGAAAAATACAAAAATACCTATTGAGTAAGAGATTCTACGGTCTCGTTATGGAACTATTCCGTCGGGTAACCGTTAGATCAACTATCTACGACGGTTGATCATCAACAAGATGTAGCCTTTTCTGCAGGAATTTATCATATAGACGCGCTGATCTTCACTTTATCCTAGCTTTTCAAAATTTGACACCATTTTAGATGGCAATTGGTGTCATAATGCTTATTATTAAACTTAACAATGTTTAGTCTGTATAGTTTAAATCCACGCACATAAAATGTGTTAGATGTTATTAGTTATGTATGGACAATAAATAAATTAATATGTAGTAGATTAATATTGGCAAATATGAGATTCGAAGTTTAAATTCTATACGTAAAATTAAAAACGAATTTGGACACTTAGAATAAATTAAACTATAGAATATTTTTGTAAATAAATTTTTGACAAACTATAGATAAATAATGGAATTAAAGAAAATATATCGATGTATACAGTTTTAAATTATTTTTGGCTTTCTTCTTTTTATTTTTATTTTTTACACTTTTTTTTCTCGGAGAAAAGCGAAAACAATTTTTGTTTAGTTTTTAAATTTTGAATACTTTTCCTTCGTGTGTGCGCATTTCAACTTTTCTCTCTCTCCCTCTCTCTCTCTCTTTCTCTCTCCCAATTTTTTTGCATTATCAGTTTTTCTTTTTTTATTGTGTTGTCTTATTTATTTGGATGAGTTTTTTTTTT